AAAAACTGGACAGGCCGGGCACGGTGGCTCACACCTGTAATCCTGGCATTCTGGGAGGCCAAGGCGGGCAGATTGTTCGAGGTCAGGAGTTCGAAACCAGCCTGAGCAAGAGGGAGACCCCGTCTCTACTATAAATAGAAAGAAATTAATTGGCCAACTAATATATATAGAAAAAATTGGCAGGGCATAGTGGCGCATGCCTGTAGTCCCAGCTACTCGGCAGGCTAAGGCAGTAGGATTGCTTGAGCCCAGGAGTCTGAGGTTGCTGTGAGTTAGGCTGATGCCACGGCACTCACTCTAGCCTGAGCAACAAAGTGAGACTGTCTCCAAAAAAAAAAAAAAACCAAAAACGGACAAAATTCAACCTAATTACACCAAAACCTGAAAAGTAACTAATGACCTCAGCCTAAGAAATTTTCATAGAGATGGAGCAGAAGCCAGACTGGAGATGGGATAAGTGGATAGAATGGAGAATAACAGGGGAGTAGAACTGACAAAACTTGGTGATTGGGTGCAGCAGGTTGGGATGAAAAGGGCAAAATCAAGGGTAATCCCCAAGTTTCAGGTTTGGCAGCTGAGTGAGTGGTGTCAGTTGATGGCACTCATCCAGGCCGCTGCAGGAGGTAGGGGAGGGTGTAAACAGACCAGAACATATGAGTGTGGGGTAGGTGGAATTTGAGGTGCCTCAGAGCCTTCTGAGTGGGATGATGAGCTGACATTTGGACCTGTGGGTCAGGAAACATACATTACCACCCTCGTATTCCTAACTCCCAGGTACAGACTTGTGAGAATCAAAAGCATGTAGGCCGGGCGCAGTGGCTCAGGCCTGTAATCCTAGCACTCTGGGAGGCCGAGGCAGGTGGATTGCTCGAGGTCAGGAGTTCGAAACCAGCCTGAGCAAGAGGAGAACCGTCTCTACTATAAATAGAAAGAAATTAATTGGCCAATAATATATATATATAAAAATTAGCGGGCATGGGTGGCACATGCCTGTAGTCCAGCTACTCGGGCGAGCTGGAGGCAAGATTACTTGAGCTCAGGAGTTTTTTGGAGGTTTGCTGTGGAGCTAGGCTGATGCCACGGCACTCTAGCTGGGCAACAGAGTGAGACTCTGTCTCAAAAAAAAAAAAAAAAAAAAAAGCATGTAGGTGGGGATGAAATATGTCAACAACTATTTATCAAGCACTTATGTGCAGGCATTTTTCTAGGTGCTAGGGCTACACTAATGAGTAAGATAAGTGTCCCCCTCACCCCACATTCTATGGAGGCAGACTGACAATAGGCAAATGAACACAAAATAATATTAAACTGTATTAAGTGCTATGTAGCAGGGTAAGGGTTCGAAAGTATGGGAAAAACTTATTTTTAGTAGGTTAGTCTGGGAAGGTCTCTCCAAGGAGGTAGCGTTTGAGCAGAGGCCTGGAAGAAGTGTGGGGATGAGCCAAGTGCATGTCTGGGAGACCCAGGCAGGAAGCAGCTCAGCAGGCTTGAGGAACAGCAAGGAGGTCTGGTGTGGCAGGAGTGGGGAGTTTGGAAAAGTGGGCGAGGGATCTTGTGGGGCTCCAGAGGCCTTGGGAAGGAGGATGCAAAGTCCTCTGTAGATAGCCCAGGCTGCTGCAGGGACAGGGATGAGGCAGGAGGAGAGACCCCATGAAAGACTTCCCCTTCCATCTGGGCCCCAGAGCCAGAAAAGCCCCTTTGTGCAGAAGGTGGGTGGCATGTTCTGGGTGGGGGAAGTGCTGTGCTTGGTCCTAAGGTCTGCTCCTTGAGAGGTCAGACAATGGGGCTCCTTGTAGTTGGACTTGGGGGCCAAGTGGCCCCCTTAATAATGGGATTCCTCAGCCAGGAGGCATGTGACCCCAAGACCTTGGCTTCTTGCCAGAGGGTCTGGGCCTGCTACTGAGGAATAGGATGGGGGAGGGGGAGGGGGGGACTTCCCTCTGGAGGCCCTCTCTGGGGACAGTGCCCTGCTCTGTCTCAGGCTGCAGGAGGTGAGAGATAGGTGGGGGAGGAGCTGTGGCTCTGCTTGGGGCAATAGGGAGGGTGACATCTAGACACCTACAGATGGTTCCACTGGCAGGCCAGGAGGGAGGAGCCGCTGCCCCCAGACCCGTGGGTGGGGGCAGGCAGGAGAGGGCCTGGCAATCCTGTCTGTTTGTGTCCCTTCAGAAGAGGAGAGAGCATGGAGCTGGAAAGGATTGTCAGTGCAGCCCTCCTTGCCTTTGTCCAGACGCACCTCCCGGAGGCCGACCTCAGGTAGCAGCAGCTGCCCCAGAAGGATCACGCTAGGGCCAGGGCTGGCACTGCCAAGCAATACTCTGGGCCCTGGCTGGTGAAGAGACCGGGGAGGAAAGCACTCAGCCCTATTCCTGAGGTGGGAGAGGGCCGATTATCATTTGTTGAGGTGGCCTGACCTCTCATCCTGTCATTTCTGTTGGACAGATGTGAAACCGTAGCTCTGAAGGAGGGTGGGATAGTCTCTGGCCTCAAGGACTGAGGTCTAGCTTAAGGACCCCATGAAGCTGAGGGCTGGAGTCTCAGGCTAGGTGGGGTGCTGGAAGTATCCAGTGTCCTACCCAGGGCTTGTCCTGTCTCCTTCTTGCAGTGGCTTGGATGAGGTCATCTTCTCGTATGTGCTTGGGGTCCTGGAAGATCTGGGCCCCGCAGGCCCATCAGAGGAGAACTTCGACATGGAGGCCTTCACTGAGATGATGGAGGCCTATGTGCCTGGCTTCGCCCACATCCCCAGGTGGGACCTAGCTGGGGTCAAGAGGAGGAAGGGGTCTGGCTGATTATGGGAAGAGGGCAGAGTTGTCCTCTCACCACCCTCCTTGTCTTCTCAGGGGCACAATAGGGGACATGATGCAGAAGCTCTCAGGGCAGCTGAGTGATGCCAGGAACAAAGGTAAACCTGGGGCTTTGGGCACTTGGATATATAACTCCCCAATCCCCCTAAGGCCCTGGCCAACCAGATGCTCTGTCTCTTTAAGAGAACCTACAACCACAGAGCTCTGGTGTGCAAGGTCAGGTGTCCATCTCCCCAGAGCCCCTGCAACGGCCTGAAAAGCTCAAAGGAGAGACCAGGTCTTCTGCTGATGCTTCTGGGGACACCCAAGACAAGGTACTGGTAGAGGAGGGCACAGATGAGGCACCTAGGGGGAGGGAAAGGAGGAAGTACTGCCTCTTATTAACATGGTGCCCACAGGCAGCCGGCACCGAAGAGCTGCTGCCAGGGGTGGATGTACTCCTGGAGGTCTTCCCTACCTGTTCCATGGAACAGGCCCAGTGGGTGCTGGCCAAAGCTCGGGGCGACTTGGAGGAAGCTGTGCAGATGCTGGTAGAGGGGAAGGAAGAGGGGCCTCCAGTCTGGGATGGCACCAACCAGGTATCTTCTCCCAGTCCCCTACCCACCACATGTACCCTCAGCTACATTCCCCCTTAGTATTAAGCCCCCACCCCTACCTGTCCCTCCCTTTTTCCCCTGCTGGTGCCCTTGGGCCTAGACCAGGCCTCCCTTCTCTACAGGACCTGCCCAGGCGCCTCAGAGGTCCCCAAAAGGATGAGCTGAAGTCCTTCATCCTGCAGAAGTGAGTCTGGGCTGGACTGGGCTGGGCTGGGCTCTGGAGGGTCTTCCCAGGGTGACTTCACCCAGCCAGTTTTTGGCAGGTACATGATGGTGGATAGCGCAGAGGATCAGAAGGTTCACCGGCCCATGGCTCCCAAGGAGGTGAGAGGTGCTGGGGATGTGGAGCGGGTGGGACTGGCTCCTGGCTCCTGGCCCCTGCTTCTGCCACTCATTGCCTGATTGCCTGACAGGCCCCCAAGAAGCTGATCCGATACATCGACAACCAAGTGGTGAGCACCAAAGGGGAGCGATTCAAAGACGTCCGGAACCCTGAGGCTGAGGAGATGAAGGCCACATACATCAACCTCAAGCCGGCCAGAAAGTACCGCTTCCACTGAGGCACTGGCCGGACTCTGTTGGAGCCTTCTAGGCTCAGTTCCCAGAGGGATGCAGGAGCCCTACACCCCCACATAGGGGCCTCCCTAACTCCTGTCCCCCATCTTTATCCCCCTTCTCTACTTTCTTGCTCCATAGTGTTAACCTACTCTCGGGGCTGCCTCCATGGGCACAGTAAAGGTGGCCCAAGGAAGGTGTGAGTGCATTCTGGTCATTTCTGCCTCAAGGCTGGGATACTATGCCTATCTGACCTTCCCTCCCCAACTTCACATCCTCTAGTCTCCGACAGGGCAGCACCAGGCAAGAGGGGGTAAAAACTCTTTATTTGAAGCTCCAGGGTGGGGCAGGGCACTGGCCTCTCACCAGAGGTCCCCACAGTTCAGTTACCCTACAGCTCAAGTGTCAGGCCCCAGCCACACAGTCCAGCTGTGCTCCGACCAGCAGGTGGGTCAGACCTGCAGGTTGACAAAAGGTGCAAAGCCCGCCATGTCCTGTAGCAGTACCAGGGCCTGGTGCAGCGGTGGCTCCACGTCGATGTCGACGCCGCGCTTTCGCAAGCGGCTCAGGCTGGGCTCGGCCACATGGTGGCAGTGCCTCACCCGCAGCGAGCGCAACGCGGGGCAGTACTCGGCCAATGTCCTGAGAGAGGAGTGGGGTGAGGATAGGGGCACGAGGCTACGACACCCCACCGCACCCATGGCAAAGGGAAGGGGCGGGGCCCCAAACCCACTCAACCTCGTACTGGCTCCAGTAAAGTCCAGGTCTCCCTCCAGCTCCTGGCATACTTTTTTCCTCCCTACACAATGGAGGAGGCCTGTACTCCATGCCTCCAGAGAGCTGGAGACTTATGGTCTCTTTTAAAGGGGAAACCTAATCCCCTGCTCCTGTAATCCCATCTACTCTGGAGGCTGAGGTGGGAGGGTCGCTTGAGCCCAGGAATTTGAGATCAGCTTGGGCAACATAGGGAGACACTCTCTATAAAAATACATAAAAATTAAAGGAGGTACCTGCTCCTCAGCTCCACCTAGGATTGCACATTTTACCCCTATTGAAGAAAAGCCAGAAATCGACTTTCTATGTGAAATCTTCCAATATGTAAATGATGGTTAAGAGTTTTTAAACTGTGGACTCTGGCCTGGGCAATCCTAGAGGTCTTTTCTTTTCAGGATTGGGGTGCTGTGGTTAGCAGGAAGATCCAGAACCCCCAGTCCAGCCTTTTGACAACTACAGCCCTCTCTACCCCCAGAAGCTGAGTGTTTGCCTTCCTCCCACCCCACCATCCCCCCAGTCCCAGGCACCTGACGCCGTCGCTTCCAACGCGGAGGCAGCCGGTAAGGTCAAGGTGCTCGAGTTCCGGGCAGTTCCGTGCTAACTCTTGGACCGCGGCGTCCCCCACATTGGCGTTGACAGCCAGCGAGAGGCTGCGGAGGCCGGCGCCGCGTTTCTGCGCTAGGTACATGATGGCCTCGTCCTTGAGCTGGCGGCAGGCAGTGAGGTCCAGCTCCTCTAGGGCCGGGCAGCGGTCCACGAGGCCGCGCAGCGCCAGCCCGTCCACCCAGTCACAGTGTGCGAGCGACAAGCGCTGAAGGCGGGGGCAGCCCTCGGCCAGAGCCCCCAGCGCCCGGCGGCTCAGTTGCCCGCAGCCCGCCAGCGCCACGCTCCGCAGCTGCGGATTCCGCGCCAGCACGGGCACCAGGTCCTCGTCTGACAGCCATTCGTGACACGGCGCCAGCGCCAGCTCCTGCAGCCCCTCGGCGTCCCGCAGCAGCCGGGAAAAAGCGGCCGGTGGGATCTGCGGACCCACCTGAGGGCGAGGAAGCAGCTCAACTCAGCCTGTCCAGCAGGCGGGACGGGCGCTGCCTATCCACCCCCTAAGAGTTCTTTCCTGGCAGCCACCTGCCCTCCCAGGAGAGCACGCATGTTCCCTCTGAGTCGCTACCCAGTGCTCGCCCTTTGGGGATACTCCTTGCTGCGTGGATCGCTTCCCAGGCAGCCCCAGCGGCCCAAGGGAGTCCGGAAGTGTATACAGTCGGGCTGGGGGCTGGGCTGGAGGCGGGGCGTGGGTAGTACCTTGATGGGGGCGGGGCTTCGGCCCCGGGCTCACCTGAGCGGCGTCAAAGCGGCGCAGTCCGGCCAAGTGCAGCTGCACTAGCGCCCGGAAGGCCCTGCTAACGCGCTGCAGTCGGAGCAGCTGGCGCAGCGGGACCCGGTTCAGGACGTGTGGAAGCAGCACGTCTTCCCAGGGCAGGTCCAGGAGCCTGCGGGTAAAGGGGCGTTGGTATCACCTGGGAGTACGCCCCTGTTATGCTACTGCGCGTAGAGCAACCACTAGACCCTACCCTGGCTCAGCTACCCTCTCCCGGGTCCCTCTTCCCTCCCTCGTCCCCTCCGGTGCTCGGTACCTGACGGCTCCCGGCTCTTGCTCCCCTCCGGACGGCTCCATCTGTGGCTCCATCGGCTGTCTAGTGCGCGTGCGCAGTAAGGTCGTCTCTCTTTGGCCTAGGAGCGGCCGCGGCAAACCCGCCTCTTTGGCCTGTAGAGACAGACCGATTCAATCGAATGCCGTCTCACTGAGGATCCTATCTGAAAGCTTTCCGGATGGACCCCCAAACTGAGGCGAAACAGACCGGTGGTGTAACATTAGACCTCGCCTTCTCTGCTACTGGGCTTGAGGCCCAAAGCTGGAGAATGCAGTAGACATCGGAGACTGGTTTCTGTCGTCGTCTTGGGCCAGTAACCGCCTCTGAACGAAGCGATGATGGGAGGAGCAGAGAAGGCCAAACGCAGAAGGGGCGGAGCCAGAACTCCTAGGTTACGGGCCTCCCCTCTGCCCTCTAGTCGCGTTTAGCGACTTTGAAAAATGAAGAGAGACTATCCAGGCTCTCCCTGTCTGGCACGTAATAGGTGTTCAATAGGTAATTGTTCAAATAATGAATAAAAGAGCAAAGCTAGAATTTTTATTCCTTCATCAAGCAAACTTACTCAAACCTCCCATTCCTGGTTAATTGTGAAGCACCGAGCTATCCAGCCTATTCACTCTGGAACAGTGTAGGCCGGTTTACCCCTGGGGAGAGACGTAGGGGGCGCTAAGAAGGACTGTATATCCAGGTGGATCCCTTTCCTTTTCTCCAGAGGTCCAGAATCCTGAGAAAAATAAATGCTCAGCCAAGCCCGCTAGGGGTACTTCCTGACTGGCCTTTGGTTTAGTTGTAGGGTCTAGGGTGACGCCCAAAGCTCTGGACTCAGCTTCTGGGCTGCCCTTTCACCGCATCCCTCCTGGTCCTCGTCCCAGGGTCCGCTGTGTGGGAAACCCTGGAGTAGTGCCTTCCCCATCATACACGGGGTGGATGTGGGGGAACGTGAAGGACGCGAGGGCCGCTGTCATCACTGAGGGCTGCGCGCTCCTTCCGTGCAACTGCTTCAGCTGGCTCTTCATAACGAAAACTACTTCTCATCCGTTATCCCATCAGGGCTTCGGGCGCCTCTGCAAGGTGGGCAGGTCTGTGCTATCACTCCATTTTTACAGATGGGGAAACTGAGGCCCTGGAGAGGAAGCGCCTCGTCCAGAATTCAGGCTCGACAGGGATAGAGAACTCAGACATCCGGTTTTCCCATAATCCCTTCCATGCTCCCCCACCCGCCAGCGCAGCTAGAAGGGTGTGGGGGAAGGACCAGAAGGAGGTCAAGTTAGGTGAGGGGCTTGCTTCCTCTTCTTCCTTAGCCTGCATGGGAGTGGGTAGCTGGGAGGATTGACCCCTGCAAAGACAGAGCCACGTGAGCGCGCACCAACTCCAACCGCGCGCCTCCTCTCCCTCCCCTCTTTGGTCGAGCCTCTGCGCCTGCGCAGTGCGACAAATCTGGCGCTGTCCCCTTCAGCACCACGCGGAACCCGTGCCACCCCTCCCCGCGGTGAGCCCCGCGCGCCCCCGCCTCGCACGTCCTTGCGCCCCCTGACCGCCCAAACAGACCCCTTCTTCCTTCCGAGGTCGCCACCTTCCCATCCTGGCCTTCCTAAGGAGAGTAGTTGCCATAGTAACTCGAGCGGCGCTTTCTTAAAATAGCCGGGACCCCTTCTACCCTGGCCAAGGGTACTAGGGATGCCTGTCCCCCACTTCTTCCAGTCCGGGGATCATCCCGTCTAACCTCTTACCCCTAGGCCGGAGGGACACCTAGCTCAGTCAGTTAAGCAGTTCTTCCTGAAGTCTGGCTTAACATCCCTCCTGCTGCATCCAGGGTGGGTGGTCAGGGTTGGGTCTCCCGGGTCCAGGACTCAAAACCCCAAAGGGTTCAATGTTCCCTAGATCTCCCTTCCATAGTTGATGGTCTCCTGGATTTAAGAGGCGGGTCTGGTCTACACCCATACCGTGTGCTTGGCGCGTCCGCGTGCTCGTGGGGGCGGGAGCGCGTGTGGCATGTAACAGGTCATGTGGCAGCCTCCTAGGGACACGCGTGGGGTCTGGAGCGGGACACGCGTGTGCAACTGGGCCATACGTGTGGCACAGGGGTCAGTGAGTGAGAAGGACGTAGACACGAGTGGGGTGGGGCACGTGAGGGTCTGGAGAATAGAACCAGGGGTTCCATGAGCCCTCCCCCTTATCTGGGGCGGGTCTTAGGTTGGCGGGAGAGCTCAGCGGAGACCTAGTGACGAGAGAGGCTGGCAGCCTCCGGGGCTCAGGGCCCTGGGAGAGGGCGGGGGGGGGGGGGGGATTAGCGTTGCCTGAGCAGCGCGTAGGGGGTAGGAGGAGGGATTGAGAGGCGGGCGGGCCTGGAGCAAGCAGGAGCCGCGCTGCCTTCACAGCTGAGCAGGGCCCAGCCTCTCCTCTGCCTCTCCTCGGTCTCAGCTCCAGGCGAGCAGCGGTGAGTACTGAGGTGGCTTTGAGTGGGGGCTGCACAGAGAACTGCGCTGGGCCCCCTTTGAGCTTCTGGAATCTGCCTGGCAGGGTTGCTGTTCCTGACCTCTGCCCCTACCCTGTGTTGCCACCAGAGGCCCCATTACCCCTTTATGATCCCTCCTGGGCTGTCATTCTCCTGGTGGGAAAGGGGGTGGAGAAGGATGTGGTGCAGTCTCCCCCCCCCAGGAGACCCCAGGGACTGGAAGTGGGGGGAGGGTATGTGTCCCTGCCTGAGGATGTGTGCAAATGTACATCTGTATTTGTATGTGACTGTGATCAGTATGTCTCTGTGAGTGTCTGGTACACCTGTATCTCTGTGTGTATTGGAGAATGAGAGCCTGTGTATATATTTGGGTATCTCTTTGTGTGTTCCTGTTTGGTGATGGTGTGTGTGTAAAACAAGCATGTGCCTTTCTATTACACACATATTTGTTATGACTGTGCAAGTGCATGAGGGTGTGTCTTTGAGCAATATGTGTGTCTGTCTGTGTGTGCCGGAGGGTGTTGTCTATGAATGTGTTTAACTGTGTACTGACATATTTGTCCTTATGTGTGTGTGCATGAGTGCGTGTGTGTGTGTGTATATGTGTGTGCCAGTCTGTACCTGTGTGGAGAACAAGAATGTCCCTTTTCCATTTAGCATGTATGTACTGGGGATAGGGATCTGTGCTCAGGCCTTTCTCCTCCCCTCCACCCTGTGCCTCTAAGCCCTTCGTCGTCCCTATATAACCCCCATTCTTCCTCCTTCTCCTTCCAGGAGGCTTGGGTTCCCCTTCCCTGAGTGAGGGGCCTCCATAAGAGGGACTGTAGTGGCCCTAGAGCTGTATGGTGTGATAGTTGGCTGACAATCCTGAGCCAGAGGGTGGGGTATCAGCTCCCCCACACCAGAAGTAGCTCCAAAGAGCCCTAGTAACTCTGGGCTCACTCAACTTCTGGAATAGCTTTCTCTCCCCTCCCAGGGTGATCCTCAGGGCCTCCAGGCAGAAGAAGAGGTGCCAGGGGCCCACTGGGTGTGCAGTTCTTTTCTCCTCAGGCCTCCATGGAAGTAGCCTCCGGTGTAGGATCAGTGATCCCATATTCCCAGGGAGGGCTAGGTCCCTGGTGCTCTGACGCCCCAGCCAACTGTCCCTTCCCTGTCTCTGCTGTCCCACCCATCTAACTTCCTGGCAGTTCATCCTGCTCCCCTTCCTCTCTTACAGGCCTGTCTGAAGAGCATGCAGCCCCCTCACTCCCCGCCTGGCCTCGCCATCCCTGCCCCCCCAGCCTGACCCCCGGCCCCAGCATGGCCCAGGGTGCCATGCGCTTCTGCTCAGAAGGCGACTGTGCCATTTCCCCGCCACGATGCCCACGCCGCTGGCTCCCCGAAGGTCCAGTGCCCCAGAGCCCCCCAGCCAGCATGTATGGCAGCACAGGCTCCTTGCTACGACGAGTGGCAGGTCCAGGTCCCCGAGGCCGGGAACTGGGACGTGTGACAGCACCCTGTACACCTCTGCGTGGTCCCCCCTCACCCTGCATTGCTCCTTCACCCTGGGCACCCTCTTCACCCACTGGCCAGCCCCCACCAGGGGCCCAGAGCTCTGTGGTCATCTTCCGCTTTGTGGAGAAGGCCAGTGTGAGGCCACTGAATGGGCTACCTGCTCCCGGAGGCTTGAGTCGGAGCTGGGATCTGGGTGGGGTTTCTCCTCCCAGGCCCGCCCCAGCCCTTGGGCCTGTCTCCAATCGCAAGTTACGGCTGGAGGCATCCACGTCAGACCCACTCCCAGCCAGAGGAGGCTCAGCCCTTCCTTGCAGCCGGAACCCTTTACATGGGCCACCAGTTCCACCCCAGGTTGGGACAGATGGTCTTTATTCCTCTCTCCCCAATGGGCTGGGGGGACCCCCTGAGCACCTGGCCACGCTATTCCGAGGACCTGCTGACACTGGATTACTGAACCAGGTATGGAACCTCCCTTGGGCTCCCTGGGATCCCAGTGACCCAGTGAAGAAGGGGCAAGGCTTGGACCCCTGTCGGACTTGGGCCTGTCTGTTGTCCACTCTGAATCCTTTAATCTGTCCTAAATATGTCTCCTTTTTGCCCTCTGTGTTTGTCCCTGTGTCTCTGCACCTCCATCTCTGTCACTGTGCGTTTTTGTTTCTGTGTTTCTGTCCCATATTCTTGTGTCCTTGTATGTCTGGCTTTTTCTCTGGGTGCCTATGTCTCCCTCTTGGCTCAGGGAGACACCTGGTCCTCCCCCCGGGAAGTTTCCTCTCATGCCCAGAGAATTGCTCGAGCCAAATGGGAATTCTTCTATGGCTCCTTGGACCCCCCCAGCTCAGGTAAGGCCAGGACTGGGGCAAGGAGAACATGGCAGGGCCATCCCCATGTCGGCTGAGGCTTGGGAGGGAGCCTGTTTTCAAACTTCCCCCGATCTCTGCCTGGGCTCCTGAGTCAGCCAGGCCTCCCTAAGCCTCAAACTTTCCATGTGCGTTATGAAGGGGCCTGGGTGATAGGGCTGGGAGGTGCCTGGAGGAGGCTGGGTAGTGCAGGGAGGGGAGAGGATGTCGGTGGTCATTCCACACAGTGAGGAGGCGGGTCTCCTTCAGGCTCCTCCAAGTTGTCTGACAAGAACTTGGTTTGAAATGAGCTCTACTGGCACCAGGGACAAGCTAAGTTTGTAGCAGGAGGAGTGGTGGCAAGCCAGTGAGAGGACTTCCTGCCAATATGAGGCAGTGGACAGGGTTCTGAGAACAGGGTCAGGACAAGGAGCTGACAAGGACAACCTCCTGACCTGGATGCTATGCACACTGCAGGTGCTAAGCCCCCAGAGCGGGCTCCCCCATCTCCTCCTGGGGTGGGCTCAGGGCAGGGCTCTGGGGTGGCTGTGGGGCGAGCAGCCAAGTACTCCGAGACGGACCTGGACACGGTGCCCCTGAGGTGCTACCGCGAGACTGACATCGATGAGGTGCTGGCTGAGCGGGAGGAGGCTGACTCGGCCATCGAGAGCCAGCCCAGCTCTGAGGGCCTGCCTGGCACTGCCCGCCCCCCGGCCCCCCGGCCCAGCCCAGGCCCTGGCCCCTGTTCCAGCCTGGGCAGTGGCAACGAAGACGAGGATGAGGCAGGCGGGGAAGAGGATGTGGACGACGAGGTGTTTGAGGCCTCAGAGGGGGCCCGGTGAGTGAGGGAGTGGGGAAGAAGGTGGCTTGCTCCTTCCCACTGGCCCAGAGGCCAAGCCAGGTCAAAGGGACTGGGATAGATGAGGATGGGGCTGGGACAGCAGGACCAGGCTGCGGTGCTGCAGGGCAGAGTGGGGAGCAGGAGATTCTGCACAGAGGCCGAGGCCTGAGGCAATGCTAGGGATGTGGGGAGCTGGTATCAGCAAGAACCCAGGGGGGTGGGGGCAGCCAGGAAGAAGAGACAAGGAATTATAGCAGGATGGGGGTCAGGTGCCAGGCCAGAGGCCAGGATCAAGCCTGGGGACCGGGGGTCATCAGTCCAGATCCTGGGTCCTGGTGGAGAGTGGGGCGTGTGGGGCTTTCCTTTCCGTCTCACACCCCATTGCAGCTTGGAGCTTCATCTTCTCCTAAGATGTTGCCAAAAATAGAAATGGGATGGCAGGAGGGAAGAGGATCAGGGAAAAGGAGGAGAAAGGGAGATTAGCAGGGAGGGAGGGAGGAGGGAGAGAGAGGATGGGGTGCTGGGGACTGGTAGGGCTGGGATGCCCTATCGGTATATACCCAAGAGGGTCTTTTTTGTTAGGGGGTTGGGAGCCTGTGAAAAGGGGATGATAATCCCCTTAACAGAGTCAGCCTGAGTTCAATGAAATCCTGCCCGACACCTGTGCTCTGGGCCCCAGATCAAAGATTTCTCCTGCCCCTGCAGGCCAGGGAGCCGGCTGCCTCACACTGGGCCTCTCAAATCTCCTGTGCCCTTTCTACCCGGGACCAGCCCCTCGGCCGATGGGCCCGACTCCTTCAGTTGTGTGTTCGAAGCCATCCTGGAGTCACACCGGGCCAAGGGCACCTCCTACACCAGCCTCGCCTCGCTGGAGGCCCTGGCCTCACCTGGCCCAACCCAGAGCCCTTTCTTCACCTTTGAGCTGCCTCCCCAACCCCCAACCCTGCGGCCTGACCCTCCTGCTCCTGCCCCACTTGCCCCTCTGGAACTGGACTCTGGTACCAGCTCCGCTGCTGATGGTCCTTGGACACAGAGAGGGGAGGAGGAAGAGGCAGAGACCAGAGCCAAACTGGCCCCAGAGAGGGAGCCCCCTAGTCCCTGCCACTCAGATGACAGCCTTGGGCTGGGGGCGGCACCCCTTGGCAGGTGAGTAATTACTCTGGTCCCTTAGATCTGAGGCCCCAGAGCCCCAGCTCTGTCCCAGAGCTGATTTAAGGGACAGATCCTGACTGTGAGGATGTAGTTAATATTCCTGACCCTGAGTAGGGGTGGTTATAGGGTACAGATGCCTGTTTTCACGTTTGGATGATAGCACCCCTGGTCTCAAATCCAGTGACTTGAGAAACCATGA